CACTGGACACACCTCCTCGGCGCCATGTACAACTCTGCAACCCTGGTCTGTGGCTTCACCAGTAGTCCTGTCCACCACTGGATCTTTACACGATCCCTCCAACTGCTCGAAGCCCGTCGAGCCCTTCCTGCTAGCGTTAAATACCATTCACGACGCAAGTCTACTAACACTGAGCTCAAACGGCTCCTTCGGGAAGTTCGCAAGGCCTAGTGGACGCAGCAGGTCATTGAAATGGAGCAAGCGGCTACCTCGGGGAATTTCCGTAATCTTTTCCTCCTTATCCGATCTACTGGCGGCCAAAGGCCGACTGTAAGCGAAGTCTTATGGGAAACCAAAAGCGAGCCAATCCACTGTCAAAAACGCCGACTCGAGCGTTGGGCCGAGCACTTTGTGCAGCATTTTAATTGGCCAGCAGCACCAGTGAGTTCCCATTCTGGTGCCCAGCGCGCTCCCTGGTGTGTAGACGCTTCACCACCATCTGAGGCTGAGGTTGCCCACGAGCTTCGCCTCTTAAAGTGCTACGAAGCCCCTGGCCCAGTTAAACTCCCTCCAGCTCTTTTCAAAGATGGCGGCCTATCACTTGTTCAGGAGTTAACTTCTCCAAGAGACCGTGGTCACTGAAGTTATCCCATCTGACTGGAGCCTAGCGGATATCGTGCCTGTCTTCAAAAAGGGTACTCGAACTGACTGCGCCAACCACAGAGAGATTAGTCTCATCTGTGTTGCTTCCAAGGTGCTCGCAGCTCTGATTCTAAGGAGGATCAGCCTGGTACGCGAACAGTGCGTACCTGAAGAGCAAGCTGGGTTCCGCTCACTTCTGAGTTGCATCAATCACATCTTTACACTCCGCCAAATACATTTGGCCAGCCAATGGTCGTTGTCTTAGACGTACGAGCCGCGTTTGACTCAGTCGACAGAGCTGCTCTCTGGAGTTGTCTACTGAGAAGCGGAGTGTCCGAGAAGTATGTCACCTTACTTCAAGCCATCTACTCTCAAACTTCGGGCCGAGTGCGGGTGTACGGCGGACTTTCGCCTCCCTTTGGTATCACCAGTGCCTTGAGACACGGTTGCCCAGCATCCCCCTTCTTGTTCAATTTCGCTATAGACGAAATCTTGGAGAGTGCTCTGGAGAACTGCGAACCCAGCGGCCTTGAGCTGCTTCCGGGGGACCGACTTTGGAATTTGGAGTATGCGGGTGACGTCGCCGTATTCTGCGCTTTCTCACAGGCCGCCCAGAATGTTCTGTGTAGGTTGGAGATGTCTGACTCCCAGTTTGGAATGACCTTCGCACCATCGAAATGCAAGGTTTTCCTGCATGACTGGCTAGGCGCTGCTCCTGACCTTACCCTTCTAGGTCATTCATTGGAAGTTCGTTTACATCGGAAGCTGCCTCAGCGCTAATAGTTAAACATATAAGGTCTCTGCGCGTCTCCAAGGCTCGGGTTGCTTTTACCAATCTCCGCCATTTATAGCCTCGAGGTGATCTGAGTCTAACTGATGGGCCGAGTTTACAAAGTCAGTGAGAGGGGTTCTCCTCTATGGCTACGAGGCTTGGCCTGTTCACGCAAAGGATGTTGTGACGTTGTCTGTTTTTGATCATCGTTGCCTCCGGAGTATTGCCTTTGTACGATGGCAACATCACACTAGGAATGCAAATATTCGACGAAGGATTTTCAGATCAGACATACTTTGCCCGCCACTGAGCAGTATAATTTCCCTGCGCAGACTTCATTTGGTTGGCCACGTTTTCCGCATGCCTATTCATCGCTTACCTCGCCGTACCCTCTTCACGCACGCAGACGTCGGTGGGAAGCGAAAGCAGGAGCATGAAGGAGCTAACGTCAAAGTTAGCCGTAGTCAGGCGCTCTCGGCTCCCTGGCTGGAGTGCGAAGGATCCGGAACACACATGGCTGGAAGCGCTCTCAGATATGGCAAGAAATCGCGCACAATGGCGGACTTGTTGTGATTCACTATTCCCATGAACATCGTTTTTCCCCCTTCATCTTCGTACATTTATTGTATTTTCCATATGTTGTGGCACTATGCCAATTATACTAGTCGCCGCGTTATATATATATATATATATATATATATATATATATATATATATATATATATATATATATATATATATATATATATATATATATATATATATATATATATATATATATACTGCCTGACTGGAGTCCTAAGGACGATAAACACGTTTGATTGGACACACTTGGTGATATGGCGAAGAGCCGGCCCCAATGGCGTTTGTGTTGTGAGTTTCTTTGTCCATCCCCTTCCCTTTAGATTCCCCCTTCAATTCCGAGCTCAAACGAAATACATCATATAATATTCAACGTTATATTACTTTTGATTTTTTGTAGTGTACTTTATCAATATCATTTTTGTTGCGGCACAGTAGATGAGGTGTATTTCTTACCCTTAACTAGCGTGTATTGAAGGTGGTAGTGCTGGTAGTGGCGGTGGTGGCGAAGATGATGACGATGAAACTTGCGGACTCTTAGGTTTGTGTTACGATTGATGACATTAAACGCCGTGTCGCGGTCGACCTGATGACCCGTTTCCGTCAGGTGCTTCGCAATCGATAAGGCAGGTGTCTTGTTCCCCGACGCAGTTCCCGTTTGTGGCTGCCTTATCATGGTAGCGTTGTGCTCCGCAATGTGCTTCCTAATCCGCTTACACGATCAACGGTCTGTTCTGCCGATGTAATTGCCTCACCGTCACCAACAAATTGATAAATACAGCGCGTTGTAGCGGAGGCTGGCTTAATAGTCTTGACTCGGGCAGTGCTAGCTTCTTGGTGGCCCAGAGAGGGCAGAGTTGAGCAGCACTGAATGCACGTTACAGTGTAACTGCTTTGCGTTGTTCTACCTGCTTAGCCACAACATCACATTTGAAGGACAGTTGTAGATAAACAGTCTTTGTTGGTGCAGGAAGAATGACTGACTGTTCACTTTCTGTGGCGCGGCTATGGAACCTTATAGACGCTTCTGGGTAGCCATCTGCTCGTAGGGTTTGCTTGCTGAATCGCAATTCAGGTTCGTTGCATTCCGTACTGCATATCACTGATGTACTCAATATGACGCACCAGCATCTTGCATGGTGGTGTGTTATATAACGCATTCTTTCACACTGGTACCCGAATAGATGTGTATGGAGTGCCATTTGTGTTATCGTTATTGAACTAGAGCGTAATCGCACCTGTTTTTGTGTTTTCGTTGTGAGTGTTGAATCAGTGTGATATTGATCCAATGTGCACTGATTCCCTCGACGCTTATAATTATCTACGATTACCTGGCTGCATTTTAAGCACTTGGAGATGGTGCTATTACTTGCGTCTGCGGTTTCACCGGTGTGTGTCCGTCTGGGGGTTGTCTACGGAGTAGCATGTTCCGCATCAAGCCGGTTACTGCAAGCTAAACAGGTGGATAATTATACTGTCTTCTGGAAATATTGTAATACCAACGTGCTTACTTGGTTTAGTTTTTCAACAATTCAGTGTTCGAGGCCTGTCTAGGTTTTTGAGACGTTTGTGATTCTTCACCTATTTGTTTGCTCTGCCTAAAAAGACATCAGCAGTACCCCAACACACCGTATCGCCTCCTTCACTACCAAACGACAACCAACAGTCGCACTTAGGCTGGGTACACCACGAGATCGCCCGCACCTATACGGGTTCGAACCGACTTCCGGATTCAAATGCAAGCATGTAATCCTCTCGGTCACCGACCCTGCTTCGTGTCGCTGCGCCCGCCTGATACCACAACCTCGATTATAGCCACCTTTTATTGCGAACAACGGCATAGTGGACTGTCTTTTCACCAATTATATGATCAAATTATATCTTCATCATAGAAAGAGCCGTGACTCAGCCATCACCGCTTTTTATCCGCCCAACGCATATGCCTCCTTCCACGTGGGTTTTGTTGTGTTGCTAGCAAATGCAGTCGACGGCAGGCATTGTTGTTTACATTCGTGGTTCATATAACGCGTGTGTTATCTCACTCTTCAGAATGTGCTGTGCACTAATTGGAACTGCATACTCCTTTAATTCGAGTCGTATGTCTTTTCTCATTCCATCGATGCTCGTTCATCATCGCTATAACAACGACACAATAACTGAACTCGAGCGACCTTGGCGACCTTATCGTTAGAAATGCGAGTGTCATCGAGCGATCCTTCGTTTTTTGCGTTTCTTCATCTCACTTACGCTAAATGTGCACACTTCCTCGACTCATCTATCTCCATGTCACACAGCAGTTACTTTGTCTCAACTTACACGCTGAGATATTAGGTTTGCGAGCCAACCATCCCTATACTATTATTATTAATAATATCATGTATATTTTCTGCTAAGTGAGGAGTTGCGTCCATACTTGGCACAGCTCATGTTTGTACGGGTAGTGACATGCTCTTGAATGGGTATTGCACCATTTTGTGTTTGTTCTTGCATGTGTGCGTTTCTGGCAATGTATATAGTTCATAGGTTTATTTTTTACCTAACGTGGAGGGTACTGGTGGACTTCGAGAACATTGCAACCACTAAGCGTTGTTTATACCATGTGGTTTCTTTTGTTTCACCCATCTGGACCCTCTTTAGACAGTGCATCAGACGATATCCCCCATGAGAGCAGTCGTACCCATTTTCAGATCGAGAAAGCTTCTGAGCTAATTACTAAATGCTGTTGCGCTCTCAAACGACCTGATTGTGATTGGGTGCCTATTTCACCAGACAGCATATCCGATTAGAAGAAAATTAAGTCGCATCTTTGTTCTGCACCTTAGTATAATCGGAGTACAATACAATATAAATCGCAATTTTGCCTGTGTTCTTCAATCGGTTGGAAGCTAGGCCGCTGCTTTCTCTATGTCTTTAACGTCATGCACCTATTGCTGACGTTTGCGTTGCTCACTCCTGCATGAACTTCGCATTCATTTCCTCTCGTTTATCGCTGATCACGGTTTTCTGTCACTCCCTTTTACCACAGAAATATGGCAATCCGGACCCACTGTGCAACCACTTTTTGACCCTCAGCTGTCAATGCCATTCGGATTCGCTGCGCAAAGCAGCTTGTCAGTCGGTTCAGTCAGTCACTCACAGCGAGAGCCATCCTCTCAGCCAGCCTCCCATTCGCAGTCTGCGGAATAAAATGTTCGGGTTTTTCTCTTGAAGTGTGTTTATGCGTGTCTGTGCGCGCGTGTGTGTGTGCAATGCATCAACTGATCCAGAATCCCCTTGGCCGTCGTCCGCTTCTGCGTTCCTCCGTCTCTTCTCAAACACGAGAACTGACATTGCCACCTCGCTGGTACTGTCACGCCAGTGATCTTATTCTGCTTGTTGTTCGATTGAAACCATTTCAACTTCTTTGCTTCACCGCGTTTCCCTCCCCTCTTAAACTTTTTCTAGGCAATGATGCAACAACTGACTTCGTACTACTTTCTCATGCCTGTGTAGTGATCACTTTTCAAAATTCTTTATGGACATAAGATTGACTGATCGGCACGCGCACACATTCGCCAACCTGCACATCTTCATACAGAGATTAGTCTGAGCTGATCGTTCCTTTTCCTATCTGGAATCGTTTAATCTCTGTGGATGGGTCCTTCTTCCCTAGTTGCCCACCGACTCGATGCTAGTAACCATCCTTGCTGATACCAAAATTCACTACCAAGGGTGTCCACACATCCTGGTTTACGGACCCTATTTCATCCTGAGCACTACATACGAGCTCTGATTATCAAAGCGGTCTGATTGTCTTTAGTGGTTTACTCTGTGAGTTTCCTGTCTAATGGCCTAGACCTTCCCCTTTTCATGTCGTTATAGATCGTCCGTCCGGCTTTTTTGGTTAATGCATGTGACTAATCGCATTGGTAGCTTCCATATCCCCTCCATTGGTATCAGCTTATAGAGGTAGTCGTAGCTCTGGCTGCCAGCCCTGTCCTCCGCACCTCAGTGAAATAAATCACCAACTCGTGAGAGTAAGGTCACGGGTTGGCATTTTTCGGGTGTCTGCTACTGACGAGTCCCAATAAAACGAAATGGCCGTCTAAGGCTTCCCTGGATGTATGGTGGCTGTCTTGCTGAGCCTAGCCGCGGCAAATCTTCCTAAACATTATGCCACACCTTCAACTATCCGGAATTTTATTACTCACTTGTGGTTCCAATCAAACCATGACACCAGTTGATAACGGTTCACGATTTGCCCCTGCATGCCTCATATTTACGGTCGGAGACTGTTCTATGGCGTTTTACTACTAACAGTTACATGCCTATCGACGCTAATATCGTTGTTCGGAATATTGCCTTGATTAGCTGTATTATCTCTTCGCCAAAGTTCACGGGGAAGGCGGTGGCTCGTCACATTGCAACGAAACTTTCCATAGCTAGGTTATCAAACCCATGTAGACCTAAGGTATCACTAGGGGAATCTTGTCTAGTGCTTATTGCCCCGTTTCACGACCGCTGAATGTTAGAGCAGATTCGTCTGCGTAGTACACATCACTCGCTTTCCGCTATACCATGTGATTCTATTCCCATAACATTTGTCCAGACTACACCATTTCTCGGCCAAGTTATCGTCTTGGGCAACAGAATTAATCTGAGGGGGCATACAACATGAGTTTACTCAATTAATTTGAGCCGTGCGTACGCCACTTACTTGTGTAGGTATCAACCTCAGGAGTCGACGTCAGTGGCGTTCGTGCTGTGAGTTTCTTTGTCCCACCCATCCCTCTTAGCCTCCTCCTCCAACCACGATCTCATTACTTAGCCTTATATAATTTTGCGTAGTAATTCTTTTTTGATGTATAGTAGCCGGCTCGTAGCTTACTGGAACGATGCCCATCCGTTACCGGTAGCTCAGCCAGCTTTCACCAGTTGTTTTTTCTCCTTTTTTTCTTTGTATTGCGGCACAGTAGCTGAGGTGTTCCCCATCTCTAGCTAACGTGTATGATGATGATGATGATGATGATGTGTAGGTGTGCGTGTATAGCCCGGCGCCTTCAGCCAATTGGACCTCAGACGCACTAAGTCATAGGGGTGCAGGTGGGACGCTTCAGCTCCTACCAGGGACAGTGTCGCTGGCCGATGCACCAGGTTGGCCTTTGTTTCTCTGTCCTAGGAAGCGATTCCCACCAATTAGAACGAGAGTAGGGATTTGAATGACGATTGGGTTGGTATAACGAGCCACAGCCAAATAAGTTTGCCGTATGCTTTTGAATGTGCAGTTCACCTAAACGCAATGGTTGGCTTGTATGTTCGGCACTCGAGGGAGGTGAAGAACGTCATACTGAAAGCGTACGAGGAAGGAGACGATTGGAAGCAGGTCGCTTGCACACTGAAGGTGAACGTGAAAACTTGCCGCAACTGGATACGGGCGTACGAATCGACGGAACCGGTGGGGCAGCACGGGGGAGTCCGTCGCAGAGCACTGGGAGAAAGCCACGTCGACTCTCTGGTGGAGTGGGTTTCTGCGGAGCCTACCGTTACCCTTGAACTCCTTCGTTTGCGGTTGAAGGCGGAGTTCGAACTTTCAGTAAGTACCAGCACCGTCTCACGATACTTGGATGGTAGACTGATAACAATGAAGAAATTGCACACCATTCCGGAGTCCATGAACACGCTGGAGAACAAAAAGCGACGCAGGTCATTCGTTTTGCAGCTCATGGATTACGAGGTGGAAGGAAGGCAACCGGTGTGGATTGATGAGACCAACTTCAACTTATTTTGCTCCCGCACTCGTGGCCGCTCACGACGTGGTAGTCGAGCGCAGTGTACAGTGGCGAACAGCCGGGGACCGAATGTTCATCTTGTCGGCGCCATGACAAACAACGGCTTGATAGCGTGTTCGGTTCTGAGAGGAAGTTACAACAAGCAAAGGTGCGCTCAGTGGCTGCGACAAGTGCTTGATACCAACGGAGCAGGGTTTGTGGAAAGGTGTCTTTTGATTTGTGACAACGCGCCCTGTCACACGCACCTGGAGCACGTTTTCCTGGAGGAACCGTACCGCTCTGGGAGACTTCTACGCCTTGCGCCATACTCTCCAGCTCTCAATCCCATCGAGGGCATCTGGAGCATAATAAAGGCTCATGTAAAACAGGCAATGAGGGGACGGTACTCCGAGATGCTCCTGGGGGATCCTGAAGGCGTTATGAATAAAAGCGAGTGGCGGATTCGCTTTTTGGAGCACGCGGTGTCTGAAGCACGGGCCTTAGTGACGCAGCAGCACTGCCAACAAATGGTTCAACATGTCAGTAAGAATTATGGACGTGTTGTTCATTTGGCCGATCTGTAAAACATTCTGTTGGCAGTAAACTACCTGTTCTAAGCGAGTGTTGTTCTTACATTATTATGATGACGGGTCAGAGTGCACTTTATACTCTGCTAGAAATAGCCAGTTCTCTAATCGGGGGAACATCGTGGATTTCCGGTAAGTTGGTGCGTGTGGTCGCGTCGCACACCCATTTTAGTTGCCGCGTTGTAGAACAATCATGTGGGAGCTTGACAAACAGATGCCACTCTAACACGGTTGTGTAACAAGCAATTATGTTCTACCGCCTGTCGTTGATTGTGTTTGGAGAGCCAGTGGATAAGGACTTTGATAAGGGCATAATAAATACGAAAATTGAACTATGCAGACTTGACGTACATGGGTAGTGTGTGTGGCCGTTTGCCGGATTGCTTAACCCGTTACACCAACGCAGGCGGCTGGACGCTGTATGCGGAAACGCAGAGCATGTAGGACAAGCACAACTAACGTTTATCACGCTCTCTAGGGAAATATTTCCCGATGGGTATTTGTCAGTTGTGGACTGTATTCGAACACACCACAGGGTTGCGGTGAGAGGATGCTTTGAAGCTGCAAATAAAATGTACTCGCTTCGGCGAATCACATTTACTCGTCGGGTTGTAACGTCTGCACAGGGATGAGTGGCTCCGCATGACGCAAACCAATCCGTGCGTTCATATGGCATTTGCCATTTGCAAGTGGAAGTTGCTATTTCGCTCCATCCCAATTCTACGTGGGTAAATGATGCGGTTATAGCCGGACATCTGTTGCAATCATATCTCGTGCGTGTTATCGTCATCCATCCACACACCTCAGGCTCCGTCCCCCATCGCCAGCTGTGACTACACCGTGCAGCTAATCACGAGATATAAATCAGGCGCACTCTCCATCCACCTCGGACTCCTAGTAGGTGGTTGATATGAAACGGTCCAGCCGCCTACCAAGTATCTGTTTCGCCTTTCAATCCCCTGGGTCTTTGACGACCCAATGTACGCCCGGATACGGAAGCCCTGGGTACTCTCGCCATGACACATATTACATTAGGCGAGCGATCCGTCGAAACTTAGTTCCAGTGTTGTTCTCGGGAAAATGAGCGGTTACCTTACGTCCTTAATTGCTATCGACTAAAATTTCACATGCTTTACTGGCACATTCAACCAAGCGCTTTTCATCAGGAACGTCATCTACATCGTTGTTAACCTGGTGATGCAGCTCCGGTGTAAGCGCTTTGGTTTTCAGTGCACTCGGTTTGAGTTTGGATGAGCAACTATCGATGATTGAGCTATGGTGTCGTTGCTGGACTCCCAACACGTGATCGTTCTTAATGACGGGGGTTGCATTATGTAGACGAAGAGATGACTAATCCGCTTTGAATACGTTTAGTTGTTTCGTTTGCAGAGGCGCAGTATGGGGGCGCGTAGGCGGTCCGTCCAGGGCGGCACGTGACACGGGGCCGCATTTTTATTACCGTCGTATGTTGGATACCAAATATGAAGGACAAATTATCCGGATAAGCTGTGGGTTGAATATTTTAATGTTACTCTGTATGATCAACAACACATTTGCGCCATGTGTCACACTTGTGCAAACGTTCTTCCCAGTGCTCCTCTTATTTGTTCCATAGTGGTCACTTTCAATACATTCACCTCAAGGTCCCAAGCGCATATTAGTTTGCATCGAAAGCTGGTGTGCTCTTTACCGATCGTTTGGCCTTCACGCGCCTATGCTGCCCTCAGTAAGAGTGATAATGTTACCACCCCCTCGGGTGGCAAAGTAGTTGCCACTATCCACAGTGCCAAGTGGCCCATCAACGGACGGTATGTTCGTAGGCTGGTGAGAAAATTTGAGAAAACTGGGAGCGTGTGCGTCGCCAAAAAGACAGGGCGGCCTCGCATCACCACGGATGACTTTTCTGCTTGTGTGGTTATTTGTGAGGTGTCCAGAAGCTGCGATCTAAGCATTCGTAAACTCGCCCAGCATTGCGACACCACCAGATATGCTGTCCATAGGGCTTTGAAGGAAAGGTAATTCCGGAAGTATAGCGCCCGTCAAGTACAGGTTTTAAACCCATGTGATTAGGAGAAGCGGCTTCATTTTTGCCGCAGGATTTTGAGTGTCATGGACATCCATTCAATTCATTTTACCGATTAGGCTGCTTTCCCTTTGCACGTTGCGAAGAAGCAACAGTTTGGGCAACGTGTACTCCACGTCGATGCAGCGCTTCATGTATACAACATGGCGCAAACCTCATGGTATGGGCTGGGTTAACT